GCTATAAATGAAATGAGCCAAAAAAAGAGATAATTTTGGTAAGAGGACATGTAATTTTTGAAAGGCACCATAAACAATGTAAAGTGAATACTGTGTTAAACTCTACAAGAGAAGAACTTGAGGACGTCTTCTCCCTCTGAGCTTGAATAAGTTTTATCCAAAAGATACACATACTGGACACAGCCCATCAGCCACATAAGTCATAGTACCCTTTCCTAGCACAGTCTAGGGTCCTGGGGAGGGGAATCAAAGAACAGCAGAGTTTTGATACACTTTGAGCTGAGGATTGGGTTTGGGGGATCTATCTGTCTTCATCCTGACATCTACTGTGGAAGAACACATCCAGTGAAGTCATTGATGCCTCGAGGGTAGCCTGGACAGTCATTAAAAAGCCCAGCATGGAAGAAATAAAGGACCAAGACAGAATAGTGGAAAGCCCCAAACCGCATCTTGCATTTTCCGGAAAGCTTATGCTGGGTCGTGTACTGTTTACCAGCTTTTCTTCAGACTGAAGCTATTAGGCCAAGCATGCTCTTCTAGATCCTTCCAAAGGGCTTTGCAATCCCTTGGATGCGGAAACTCATGCTAGCTCTGATGAGCAACACCGATCTTAATCAGAGGTATGATGTGTTCTGGTACTGAGAAAACATGTGGTTTCTCGGCAAGAGTCATAAAGTAAATTTACACTTGACAGTAAACTTCTGAGAGGTAAAGAGGACATAAAGCTGCTTTCGTATTGTTTTGATTCATCCCGGAGAATTTAAGCAATGTTTTTCAATCACAGGGGACACACGTATAGGGACCCAAGAAGAACCATTTCCTTCTTTGTATAGGGACCCAAGAAGAACCATTTCCTTCTTTAGGCATGGTACAGAGGTAAGATGAGTTAGAATGGATTGTGTGTGTGTGTGTGTGTGTGTGTGTGTGTGTGTCCTAAATTGGACAAGTTTCTAAAATACAGACAGTAAATACTTATGAAGATGTTCACCCTGAAGAAAATTAAAACAACAGAATCTGTGTTCCTCAAAGCACGTCAGGTATTCCATAGCCTGTTCCCCAGCGTAAGCCTGTGTCCTCTCTGATTCTATAAACACTTGCAGGATATCCAAACATCTTTCTCCATCGCTAGTGCCTGGGTCTCTTTAGAGTCATAGCTGGCTACCGTGTCACCCACTACAGATCAGGAATTCTGGGATAGCAGTTTTCTTATTTGTAAATTCAGTTATTCATATCCTTTTGGTTATTTTGGTCTTTTTACTTTACAATAAAAATCTTTAGAAATGTAGGGTGTTAAAATAGAAAGAGGCAGCTGATACCCATATGCATCCAAAATGCTCACAAGCCCCCATATACATACTGGCATATAAATTCTAGTGCTAACCACTAAAACAGCAGTTATCAAAACTGACTTTTTAAGATATTTCTAGTAAAGGGGAAGGCACAGAGAGGCTTAAGGTCCATTTCTAGTCCTGCTTGTAGCAGTTCCATTACTGTTGTGAGACAATGGTCTTTTACCCTGTAAAAATTTGTTACTTGTATTTTAATAAAACTCTGATTGGCCAGTAGCCAGGCAGGAAGTATAGGTGGAGTGATGAGAATAGGAGAATTCTGGGAAGAGGAAAGGCTGAGTTTGCAGTTGTCATCCAGACACAGAGGAAACAAGATGAGAACAGCTCGCTGATAAAAGGTACCAAACCACATGGCTAACACAGACAAGAATTATGGGTTAATGTGAGTTATAAGAGTTAATAAGAAGCCTGGGATAATAGGCCAATGAGTATATAATTAATGTAGACCTCTGTGTGCTTCTTTGGGACTAAATGACTGTGAGACAGGGCTGGACAGAAACCTCTGTCAACACATTTCTCTAGGAGAACCATTCTTTATTTTTATGTAGTTGTGTTTCATGGATGGAAAGAATGTGTTACACAAGGTTTAGCTGTTTAGCCAGTACAAAATAATTGAGTGTGTGCTATGTATGTGGCTACATGTCAGTACAGGGCAGGGTACTGTCTATAAGGGTAGGCCCTAAAGCCAATCATCAGCTTTTCTACTGTTAGCTTCTTTATCTATCAGCATCCCACTTTGAAGTTTATAACTATCTAGACATCATCTTGAACTCAAACTGTTTAAAATTAAACTCATCAACTTCCTAAGATTGATTTTACAAGTCTGTACATAAATATGTCTCTGTCAATGACTTCCTGTTTCCCAATAGTCCAATATAGATTTTGAAATATACCTTATCCTTTATTGCCTTCATTTTCCATTTCTAAAGCTATATCAAAACTTAATACTCATCTATTTGATCTTGGGAATGCATTTTTTGAATTCCAGTCATAGCCTAGTCTTGGGCATCCTCTCTCTTTTTGGCTTGTTTTATTTATTTTTTATTAGTTTCTTTTGATTTTGTTTTGAAATCATATTTCAAGTATATCAGGTGGGCCCTGAACTCCTTATCTTCCCATCTCTGTGCCTCAAATGCTAGGATTCTAGGCTGTCCAACCAGACCCTACAAAGTCTCATCTTTTAAGGACTAAATTGGGTTCTGGCTTGCAGGCAGATTTCCTAATTTGTAGGCAATCCAGTCAGATCTATGTTAATTTTCTAAATTATATTTCATGAAACAGCCTCCAGTGGTCTCTCCGTGTACTGGTTTTGGTTCTAAGATCTGTTCCTTGTCCTTGAAGGTCTACCTTGTCTCCTGTGGATCCCCAGCTTGGGGTGACCTTTTCTCTCATCCACAGACAAGTTGCCTTTCAAGACTCAGATCACAAGTGAGGAACCACATTTTTTTTTCCCTTGAACTCTTAAGGAGATCCCAGTGTGTCCCACACTGCTTGGCACTATTGTTAGTTCTTAATTGTTTCCTATATACCCTCTAGATTATAAACTTCTATATTTCTTTAATATTTCATTTCCCACAGAATTAGAACATTGCTGTATATGTCAGACATATTTGCTGATTGACAGATCCAAATTTATGCTATCGCTAAAAAAAAAGTCTTACCATTTTCAAAACCATTTGTAAAGATAACTAAGCAACATTTAATGTGTAAAGTAAGATCTGTAAGGGCGTGGTCTCAGAACTAAGAAAAGGTTGAGCCCTTATTATTGTCTCACAAATGTCTCTAGAATTATCAATGTGCTTAAAGTCCATTTCAGTGCAACTTCAATTAGACATACAATTAGCAACATTTGTTTTGCAACTCTGGTTTTCTAGTTAATCTCTGTAATCCCTTGTTCTGTCTCTTTCCTATGTAGCTCTTCGGCTCTGCAAAGGCAGGTTGTCTCTGGCAATGAGATGCATCATAGCTTCAAGGTCTCACTTGGGGCTGACTTTGTTTCTTAATCCTTGGCCTTCTGGCTCCATGAAGAACAGGGACTGGAGAATTCATGGGATGAAACCCTTCTACTAGGGGATGAGATCTTAAAGTTCTACCTCAACTTGATATGCCATGCTTTGTTGACACCCATGAGAGGCCTGCCCCTTTCTGAACAGAAACAGAGGAGGAGTGGATGGGCTAGGACAGAGGAGAGGTTGGGGGAGGGATGGGAGGAGAGAAGAGAGGGGAAACTGGAGTCAGGTTGTAAAAGAAATGAAAAAATTTAATTAAAAATGCGAGAGCCTAAAGAGGTCAGATGGTTCCAAAATGGTAAGGAAAATACTAATAAAGGACTTCTGATGGCAATATTCCCTAAAATCAGGGAGTCAATTCTACGTGGGGGAAGAAACTTGCAGTTACCTCTCATAGACGGATTAAACAAAATAATATAACAAAATTGAAAAGAAATTTTATAAAATATTTTGTCAGTATTTGTCTGTCATTTAAGTAGGTGTTTTAACTCTTCAAAGGTTGATGCTTACTACAGTTTTCTTTAAATTTATGTATCTATTAGTGATAGGTAAAATTGACATTTGGATGTGTTTTCTGCATAATCAAAAAGAAGCCTGGATAACTAGTGCACTTACTGTTTCCCCCATGGGTTGAGCATAAATGGTTGTCTGCTGTTTAAAAGGATGACTGTGCTTAACCTTCAACAGAGCACAGGAGTGTAGGGAGTACAGGAACAGGAAAAGTGGGCAGAGGATGGGAAACTCCATAGCAATCTTGCTCAATGTCTCATAAGTGGTAATGTACATCTAAAATACAATATTCACACTTGGAAAATTTGAGAACTCAAATTATTAGTTTTGGCAGTCTTTAGGGGATTACTATCAAACTTTAAAAGTCTAAAAGAGAAATCAAAATACACATTTTCTTCTGTGAAATAATAGTTGTGGACTGGCACATTACTGTTCTCCTATTTGATACAAGTCTCTTTTGCTAGGAAAATAATGGACTCTTAAGATTAAGAAACAGAGAGAAGTCTTAACTAATTCATAAAGTTTTTGACATTAGTTAGGTAGGATGCAAAGCAAATGGTCTCTCCTATTCATTTTGTGAAGTGGTTAAAAATTAAATGTACTCTAAATTTTGTTCTAAAATGGACTTAACCAAAGGTTCACAGTATTAAAAGTGTGTCAGCAATTCAGTATAGTTTATGGTTATCCTTAGACAACACTTAGCATATCACTCAAATACCAAAAAAACTAAGCCACCACCAACTAAAATAATAGTAACTGTCTCTGGGCATCCCATCTCCTATCGTGTCCTTCTTCACGAATTTTAGTCAAGCATCTAAGTAACTCGAGAACAGGAACAATCCAGGAATGCTTGTCAAAGCAACACAGTGGCTGAATACATACTGAAATACGAAACTTTCTTGAGGTCAGTCTAGTAGCGAAACAGCAGGAATGAGTAACCACTTCCTCTAAAATTTCAAGGAATGCTGTCCTTTAACTTCATGTCAGCTTCCATCACCAACCCACTAGAATACGTTTCTAGCACAAGCGAGTCATTCAGTTAATGTTCCATTCATAAAACTAGCTGCAAATATTTTCCATTTTTTTTTGTGTGTGTGAAAGAACCGGACAACAACAGAGCCTGTTTGCTTACCATTTTCCTTCTTCATTTTCGTATTGTTGAACGGTGTATCCAAACATGTCCTCCACTGGGCCACTGAAACTCATTGAATTTTTCACATCAACGTTGAAGGAAGTGCAGAAGCCTAGAATAACTGAGAGGGGAAAGAAAGTCCAGTTACACAAGGCGAAGAGAGAAAGCATCACATTTGGGATCCTGGAAGGCATTCTTAAAAGGACCGCGGAAAGCTGTGCTCTTATGAAAAAGAACAGTTGAAACCAAAGAAGATGAAAACTCAAGGAGGGTTCTGGTAGGATGTTATATTGAGCACCAAAAGGATGGGTTTTTAAAATGTTTGGAAATTAAAATCTATACCATTCCCAGTAGTAAAATTTCAGGATTCACTGGGAATGACAAAGATTAAAAATGACTATAGAGTTAGTTCGAAGATGCTTTCCCAGAAGCGATCCCTCCAGTACAATGTGACCAACAGTGACTTTAAACAGCTCCCTTTCCCCACTGCAAATTCTGAAGATGCAGGCAGTCGCATTTAAGCCTTTCCAGCCAGACCTTTCTCCTGTCTGTTTCTGAAAGGAAACTGCCTTTTCCTTTGCATCTGAAGGGTTCCTTTCCTCTGGGTGATCTTCAGAGGACTATTTCCACTCAGGGACGGCTTCCTAGGCAGACCTGAGATAACTTCTCTGTCTCCTCAAGAAATGAGCAATTGATGGAAGTTTCTACTTATACAAAAAAGCCTCCTTGCAACTGTGTTGACTGTGGTAAACTCACAAATGTTTTGGATTAAATGAGATAATATTCTCAGTAGTCCATGCCCTGTACACATTATACATACAATGAGAGTTTATCTCTTTCTCTGTGATCCAGATATAAGAAAAGTTTTTAAGAAGTGTGACCACATACAGAGGTTCTGAAATCACAAGTTTAGATAGAGGATACTAAATACCTCATTTGGTCCTAGTTTGGAAGAACAGACATACAAGTTTCAATATCCCTGTCCTGAATAAAACCAACAACCCTTATCAAAGAACATCATCTTATACAATAATAGCACATTCTAAGGCATGTTCAAAGATGATTAACATTCAATTCTCAAAACTAGATTCAGCCATACAGATTCTGGAAACTTCTCTATTCTAAAGACGGAGGACAGGTAACGTATCAAATCTCTTAGCTCTTATCCACTCTAAACTTCTTCCATAAATATGCTCCAAATCCAGGTTGCTCTGACCCATAACCTTCAAATTACATTAACAATAGTAAGTGTTTATTTGATACACAGGAATCTAAGTTAATTTAGAGAAAACATTTCCAGAGGAAATCAACCATTCTTTCCATTTGTAGATTTATCTATATAGCCTCTCTTTATCTTCTTTGATTTTTGAAGAAACTTCCTACCAATATAACTATTAAATACTATTTATATTATTATCTGCTGGAGATGTTCCCCCTGGACTAGGAAAGTCTTAAAACTGAGGACAGTTTTACTCCTCTTTTTATCCTTCATAAAAATCTGGTGCGGTTCCTCTCACACAGATGAGCAGTAACACGTTTATAGTCTGAGAGATAATGTGTTGCAGAGGGCAGGGTGCCAGCTATGGCTGGAGATGCACTGGCAACCGTTCCATGCTAGCAAAGCAAGACTTGTTAATGTCCTAAGGTAAGGGGGAGATGGGACTTGGCAGTGAGCAGAAAATTTCTCCCCAGGATTTGGGAGGGTCTCTGAGCGTAGTAAGAGACACGGGACAAATATGGTCGCAAGATCACAAAGCGATCTTCCTGGCTGGCATGAAGGAAGTAGACAAAGAGTAGACAGCCAGGATACATCCTTTTATGTACATTTCCTCTTCATTCCTCAAGGGAGACGGAGCACAGCTGGCCACCATCCCCACATCCTCTTTTAGATACTGGGAGGTCATTTTGCACAGTGCTCGGCCTCTGCTCCAAGTTCCGAGTACATGCGCTTAACCTTTCTTCTATGGTTTTGATGTTTTGAACAGTTTCAACTTAGTACTTTTTTTTTTTTTTTTGCACGAGACATACACAAAATATCGCTTCCGCAGTGTGGTTTCTCAGCCATGGCACTAGAGACAATTTTGTCATGAGAACTCATGCCGAAAGGTGCCTAGCAATGTCTATGGCCCACTGCACACGACAATAGTGGCCTTCTGTGAGTTTTCACAATCAACATTATCTCTAGACACTGCCCAAACCCTGTGGAGTCAAAGTTATCCATAACTGAAAACAACTGTTTTAGAGATATAAGGATCCGGAAACTCCTACCCAGGACTGTACGCCAGCTGTGGCTCAGAGATCAGAGGATGCCTGGTCCAAGGCAAGTGAGCATCATCAAGTGAGCTTGTGAATCTCGGGTCCCACCCAAATTTCAAGAACCAAATCTCCATGGTATTGTATCCCTCTTACTTTAAAAAGTTTAAAAAGTATATCTGTGTAACCTGTTGTTTCTTCATCACTACGTCTACACAGGTGGAAGAATTGATCTACATTCAATTGTCCCTTTTAGACAAAATGGGAAACACATGTTTTTTTTTTTTTTTTTTTTGAGGGGTCAGCATCAATTTCACTTGTTTGGAGGATTTCTTTATTCAGCACATTATCGTTTGGGGAAGCGGGGTTCTCTCCTAAAGGCCACTTGAGCACTTGATATCCTTGGGCCTGTCTATTCTACGCGTCACCGGGAATGCCTGAGGGTGGGCGCTGCACTGTTTTTCTTGTTTTTAGAATTTACGGGCGCTTTGCTCAACGTAATTTTAAATCTGTCCCTTGTATGTTTTCTGAGACACCATGGAGCCTGTGGCACAGGAGATGACTTTCTTTTGTTGTTTTTTAAAAAAGTAGTTGGCAATATGTCTTTTTGATTTAAAGGAGTAAAAAAAAAAGCAGTGTCTCATAACTTTTAGTTCAATGCTTATTTTATTAGAGTAGATTTGCTTGGAACTTTATGTTCTAGAAGTAAGGCAAAATGGTGCTTATCTCAACGAAAGGGAAAAACAAACAAACAAACAAAAATCACAAAAGGAAACATAACAGTCTGAAAGGCTTGGGAGTCCAGATAAGGAAGATATTGAAAGTAACCGGAAGTAAGTATAGAGACAGATGTCTAAAGAGAACGCTAATCTCACATGTACCCCTGAGAAGTCTTTTTCTAACAATCACTACACCATGTACTGTATGCCATTCCTCCTTTTCAGTCTGCTAAACTCATCAAAAGTCCTGCCAATACCATTCTCATCAGCCTCATGTGAGTGAGGGAGAGCATCAGTAGTCAAGAATAGTCCCTGTATTTCCATGGGAGTCCACAATATAAAGCATCAGTCACCATTCACATTGACTGAGATTTTTCCCTAAAACCAGAAGAAAAAAAAACAGAGTGACCAGTAACTCAGGGCCATCTTTGGAAGAAAGTGCCTTCTCATGACCAAGAATTGGTTTGTGTAGTTCTGTGTCCTCAGAGGGCGGTCTGAGGAGGAAACTGTACTTTGGTGACAGCTGGTTGAGAAAGATGTTGAGGAGGCTGGTATGGGAAAGTAGCCATGGCAACAGAGCTCAGACCAAGTTGCTGGAAGGACTTCACGGAAACCTATGTTTATAGAGAAAAGAAAGCAAGGTGTCTGCTCCTTTTCAGGCAAGACCATAGTTACGTGTGTCCCAGTTAAGAGCAGATGAGAAAGATGGGGTGGTTGATATCGAAGGTTATCATTTGTAAATTAAATCATTTTTTGTTCATTTCCCCCTTTTGGATGAAATTTAATGTGCAAGGCAATAAATGAGTGAAAGATATACATAGTTCCCAGGTCTGGGTTTTTTGGGGGGGTTCCAAAATAATGTTTTTCATAGAAATAACATATTAAGTTATTGGCTGAAAAGGGTAATAGCTATAACTTTCTTTTTGTGTATTTGAAACTGAATCTCAGAGAAATTAAGAGATGAGTCTAAGCTGAATATATTAACAGCAGACAGAGGATGCCAAGATGGGTCTCCTCGGGTCCAGTTGTGGACTTGCTGTAACGAACTCTAGACTGTCTTTATTTCCAGAATAGTTAGAGTAATAGGTCAGATTAATAAAGATGAAAATATAACCCACCTGAGAACAACACTCAACTGACCTGTGCAAGTTTTAACCCTGTATAGTTTTGGAATATTTGAGGTGTGACTGGAAAAAAAAAAGTTGAATGAAGGTAGAAAACTCTGAGCTACTTCAGTGACAGTGGACTCTGGTGGAGGCCACACCCTCTTTCCCTCACATTCCCAGTTCCAAGAAGAGTCACTGTGGCCTATGAGCTAACTTCTTAAATAAGAAAGTCAGGGCCTGAGCATCTGGCCCAGCAATGCTGCTCTAGTCATATCCAGATGGGAATATATAATAGCTAATGGAATTTTCTACCTGGCAAACTCTGAGGCCAAGGCAAGTGAGCATCAAGTAAGCGGTGGCAAAGAAGATGCTTTATAATGATATTATTCTCCTTTGATAACTTCTTATGTATATTTATCCAATGTAGCAGCAGAGCTCATAATTAACATTACTTTCAATCTAAAGTTTGAAATGATGACATTTAAAATGAAAGATAGTAATAGTTAAAGTGTACAGCGAATTGATGAGTCCCAGAGTAAGTTCCTTCCTGTCTTGTCATTTATAACAAACTGGACGATATCAGTGCTTTGTCTCTGAAATTTTCTTTAATTTACTTCTCAAGGATCAAATGATTGGATCTCAATTTTGAGGTGCATGGCTCCCAAAAAGAATAAAAATTTGATTGAAATTATGAGATCTGACCAAAACAACTATAGGATAACATCTTTACAGTTGATCTGAAAGTTGAAGATATTATTTTTTATAGCTTTTTGTTATGAAAATGATCCAAAAACCTCCACTAGCAAAGATATGGGAAATCAATAGTGAAAACATGACCATAATAAATTCTGATCGGAGAGTAGAGAAAGAAGGAAGGAATCTGGAAATGACATCGTAATTTCAAACACAGAAAATCTGTACTTGCCATAAAAAGAAATATGTCCAATTCATGCTCTTTGAAACAAGAAAAATGCCCCCATAGAATGATATAAAGAAAACACACAACGCCATTCAAAGCAGCTTTCATCAGAAGTGATGGAATA